TAATCCACTGACAGGTGGGGGCAGGCACAGTGAGCTGGGTCAGTTTGGAGTGGAGGATGTCCAGGATGATGGTGTTGAATACTGAGCTGGAGTCCACAAAGAGGGCCCATGCGTACGTCCCTGGGGAGTCGAGGTGTTGCAGGATGTAATGCAGTGTCATGTTCACTGCATCGTCCACTGACCTGTTTGCCCAGTAGATGAACTGCAGGGGGTCTACGATGTCCTTCAGGTGGGCCGACACCAGTCTTTCAAAGCACTTCATAACTACAGATGTCAGGGCGACAGGTCTGTAGTCGTTCAGTTCACTGATGGAGGTTTTCTTGGGGACTAGAATGATGGTGGAGCGTTTGAAGCAGGAGTGGACGTCACACAGCTCCAGTGACCTGTTGAAGATAAGTGTGAAGATGGGGGCCAGCTGATCAGTGCACACTTTCAGGGAGGAGGTGGTCACGCCATCTGGGCCTGGTGCCTTTCTGATCCTTTGATTTTTAAAGAGGCCACGCACATCCTTTTAACAGATCGTTAGCGGTGGGGGGCTGGAGGGAAGAGAGGTGATTGTCGGGGAGCAGCTGCTGGATCTGAGCTGGTAGAAATGTACTTCAAACTACTTTTTACGTTTATACCTTGAGTACATTTCAGAGCCTGTACTTTTTTTTACTTTTACTCAAAGGAAGAGTTTGAATCAGTACTTCTACTTTTACACAGGTGTCTGTACTTCTACTTGAATAATGAATGTGTGTACTTTGCTGTCTTTGACTGGGGTTTATCGTGTTGCCGTCTTAAGCATTTGCTCAGTGCATACATGTACAATCTACTTCCACTTCTGTCTGGCAGCTCCTTCCCTAGATATTTTAAACTCACAAGACAAACACACTTACATTATATCCATTGTCAGATGCTCCATTTGTGGACTGCGAATGGTGGCTGACCAGTATGACCTGCTGGCCTGAGCTGGGTGGCTGTTCTGGCAGACCAGATTCATTCAACACTGCAGGAAATGTCTGACCCTAAGGATCAACAGACACTCTTGTATACTACATTATATATTATACATACTGTAAGTTATCTTCAAACATGCTTAATCACATTGCTGAATTTGGCCAGATAGGGTTTTAAATTCTTTGACAGTCATCTTAATTTTTTTTTACCTGTGTATTAAGGTTTAGAGTGACACCATCCAGCATCCCCTGTGCATCTGTCAGGGTCAGTGTAACGCTGCCATCGCTGGCCACGCCTCCTGGTGACATCACTAGACTCTGGGATGCAGCAGTATGTGACAGGGTGGTGCTCGGTGGTAGGCTAGTTACTGATAAGGAGGAGAAAGGCAGCAAGGTTAGAGTGATTTGAGTTTTTACTGCCACAATCCACAACTAGTGTGGACAGCAGTTTTCAGCCAACTGTCGGAGCCAGTGCCTGCATCCATACGCTCTGTAATACATTTCTGATGACATGAAAGTCATTTTGACATAAAACCTGAACTTTAATGTTACTTTTTTCAAACACAAACAAAAATGTCTCCATTTAGACTTTTCCTGTAACATTAAAACCCTCCATTTACTAATGAAATACTCATAGAATGAGGGATGGCTTCATTACAGAATCAGGTTCACTTGAGATCACAAAATGTACAGTTGTACCTGTTGAGATGACCAGCTGGATACCAAAGTCCTTTTGGTGTGTAACGCTAAGTAACTAAAATAGTAATGACACTTTAAAACATGATACAGGAATCCAGTAATTAATTTCACTTAAATACCTAGTTTTTATTTTCAGACCATCTTAGAACGTAAGTTGTTTTGACTTGGGGTCTTTTAACTAGAAATGATGAGTTGAATGAATGGACTGCTGAGAGTTCACTCAACTCATTAAGTTTTTAAAGAAATAAAACTAGCAGACCAGTAGACGCTGTTCTTTTTGTGGAGTCTGAAGAACCCGTTCACAATGGAAACTTTGTGTTGTGTCTAGAATATATTAAATTAGGTCATGTTGTTTATTTATATAATGGTAAAAATGATGCAAACCATGATGAAGATTGGTTCGGAATTCCATCTCTACCCCTGTCACTGCTTGCATGTTGGGTTTGTACCAACTCTGGTACAAAACACATTCAGCAGCTGAAGCTACAAATTCCTCATGTCAGACTGACTGAAGAAATGTAAAAGGAAAACAAATCTCTCTGTGACTGCCCATGTGACTAAAGAGTCGAGTCAGCTTAATACCATTAGTTTACTGTACTTGTTTTCTTATGTTCAGTTAACTACAGTTTTGCATTTTCAAAACATAAAACAACCCCAAACTCTTTCCTGAACTAAAGTTGAGATAATTCACCTTTTTTAAAGCACCAGGGGAACTCACATTTCCAAGATGAACCAGCTTGAAGCCAGTATTTGATTTTAATAAATATATTACCATAATGTTTATCAGTCAAAGTGCAGGTGGAACTGCACTTGCATACCGATTGGCAGGGATGGTTCAGTTAAAACAACAAAAGGAAAGTCTAAGTGCCTCTGTGACACAGTGGGAACAGTTTTCACTAGAGTTCAGACAGGAGGGTAATGAAGAGGGAGATGAGACTGGAAATTTGATTTTCTTATGACATGCAACAAAGATCCCAAATCACATTAAAATAAAGAGCAAGATGTAGAAAACAATTTCTAAGCTTCTACACCCAGAAGACATTATTAATTATCTTGCTTGAGATCTTTAAGCTGAGCTACAAATGTTATTCTGAGCGTGCCTGGCCCAGCTTTGTTCAAAGGGCGGTCTGCTTCTAAGCACACTAGAAAGAACTTTGTAGAGTCTTTTTTTTTATTCCACAGGCAAAAAATACAACAGCTCTTAACATGTGCTAAGTACAAACATTACCAGGCCAGACTAACTAGCTTACACTAGCTTTACCCTTGGCATTTTATTATCTATATCATGTATGACACCAGCACATAGATTCTAAGGTCATACTAAAGGGTTAATGATTAAAAGCAGCCAGCAGAAAACATTAAAAATTCAGCTAGAAAGAGGTTTAGCAATCTGGCAAAAGCTGATGTTAACTAGTTAAAACTGATAAAGCAGCCAAATTCAGTTGACAAAATCCATGTTAGGTGGAGAGAAGTGAGAAGCTTTTGTTTACTCATGTGTGAAACAGAAAAAGTTTCCAAAATTGCTACAAATATAATGTAGCTATTCTGTCTGTTACAGTGAACAGTAAAAGTACCATAGTAGAATGGAAAGCTCGACATGAACAACTTAGACTTAGTAAACAGTTTCGAGCATCAGAGCAGCATCCACCTGATCACCATAAGACATTTATTATTTATTTATTATTACTTTTGTTGTTTTGTTTTTGGTTTCATTGTAGCTATTTTACATTTCTGCCCATGGCTGCACCAGGACAAACTTGCTAAACCATGAAAGCATTTTTTTAGCTTCCCACATACCCTTTGATGCCACCGTAGTGGGGGGGACACACCTTAGCGTGCTATTTCACAAACATCACACATTGATCAAGAGACTGAACTTCTCTTTCAATGCTTCATTCTGTTTTATCCTGGGTTCAATCACTGGTGCTGGATGCAAGGGACGTTCCTTTAAAACCATTAAAGGAATCTGAGATAAAGCTGCTCTCACATCTGGTGTCATCCATGCTTCCTCTCGCACCAGCTAATATTGTGTGTAATGTTCTGTTTGAACTCCATACTGTACACTCATTCACCTGCCATGGATGCTATGTATTTGCAACTTGCCACTATAGAAAGAGCTGAGCCCTTCTGCCAGTGCAATCTACTATTTGCTGTTTAACCCAGCAAGAGGTGAAACTCAGCCTACTCAGCATATTTTCAGACATTTAGCTTAGCTTGCACTATAAGCTGTCATCACTTCTTTTCTGCTGCCTATAAAAAATAAAACACCCCATAAAATTTCCTTGTGAAGCTTCAATAAAATAAAACGATTAATCCCAAAGGGAAATGACTATAAAATAAGGCTATAAAAAAGAATAACCTAGTCTACTGCATTAGTCAAAAGTCTCATTCTTCAGGAGCAGTCGTAATGACTTTCAACAGTAAAGACAAGGACCCCCCCCCTTAGTGTGTGTGCTCACTCCCTCAAATGGGTGGCAACTTAATCAGCTTTGTTCAAGTGGGTTGCTGTGATGATAGCTGCACACCAGTCAGCAGGGTATCTCCTACTTTGCTGCCAGACTGTTGGCTTAAAGTGGTGGCCTTGAGTCAAGTGGTGTTACGACTCAGTCGAGCATGGTCACTAAAACTGGCTTTTGGGTGCAATTATGCAACCCCTTATAGAGTGGAGTTGTGTCAACAGAGCTGACTGAAGATGAGAGGTTAGTTTATTTGCAACCATGAATTTCTGACAGGTTTTTATACCTGCGTTGTTTTAAAAACACCAGGTAACCTAATATTACTGGGGTACCTGGGCGTATGGGTACTCTCTGAGTACGGCACTAGCACAGCACAGTGAGATTATTCGCTCACTGTCATAAACTGATCCCATCGAAAGTCCAGTTTAACTGAAGATTCACTGATGTCCAGCAAACTTTAAAGTGAAAGTGGGACTGGCCTCTTCCTGAGAAAGAATTTAATGTATTGGTTTGAATGGAAATGCATGTTAGACTAGACAGCACTCAGAGAGTGCAGACCTCTGCCAAGGCAACTTGGTTTCCCCATAATGCCATTACATCTAAAAGCAATGTTCCCATGATAGTTTGACCCTCGTAATATGATTGTTGTCCATGAAAACATACTGTTGGCATTTTTCTGACAGACAGGAAGCGGCAGGTGAGGCTGGGGAAAATTACATCCAGCACCAGGACTGCCAACCCATGCCCCCCCCCCTGCCCCAGGGCTGCGTGATATACCTCACAATTTACAAATTAAGCACTGGACTTTTTATTACTGTATTCCTCTGCTCACTCTCAAATACAAACACACATTTATATTTCAGTCCTCACCTGCCATTCCAGTGTTGGCGGGGCTCTGAGGTAGGAGTTGGTCATTGGTGATAGTCAGGGCTGCACTGGTGGGCTGGCTGTTGAGTGGCGATGGCAGCCTGATGCTGCTGTTCATCTCGACACCATTAGGGTTGCTATGTTGTGGAAGCAGATTCTGGCCTGCAAAAGTATGGGACAAAAGCAACTTCTACTGCAAAATTCAAGGAAGGATTTTACCTAATATATATTTATTCTTCTCATTCAGGATAAATTTTAGAATATTTTGGTCCATTTGATGAAGAGTACATGTATTTTCTACATATTCCCTTCTTCAGATCTTTAGCTTGGAATGATACATTGTGAGCTATCTTCACTTCTTTTTCACTGCCTCTAATAAAAAAATAAAACAAATACAATACAAAAAAAGGGAGAAAAACTCCAGTGAATGCCTTGGTAAAGCTTCAATAAATAGAAAATTACTTTATCAATCCCAAAGAGAAATTACTATAAAATAAGTCTACAGACAAAAATTATTTAGTCTATTGCATTAATACAAAGGACTTGAAGCGCAGTACAATAAAGATAACAGAATGCTAAATGAAAGAAAGTCCAAGCAGGAAATATTCTAACTGCTCCAATTAATGCAGACATGGATGATTTATGTTGACTTCATGTGTCTCAAAAAGAATGTCATTTGCTGTATAATCTACAGGACATAGCCATATATTTGTATTTTATTTAGATTGACTCGTGGAATCTAAATTGGTCCATACCTGATATGGTGAGTGTGATCTCCTGAGGGTTTCCTGCTGCGGTGCTGGAACCAGCCGCAGTGGCCTGGGCCTGTACCTGGGCTAGGGCTTGTGTCAAGCTGGAATTGTTGATGGTCAATGTGATTTCCTGACCACTGTTGCCTCCAGCTACCAGCCCAGAGCTGCTCATGACGTGGCTCAGGTCCTGAGTACCTGTATGATCCAAGAGAAAGCATATGGTAGATCAGTTATTCAGCTTGACTAACAGTGTTTAGTTAATTTTTCCCCAGCAAACATACCAGATCCGTCCTGCTCAGGCAGGCCGGCCATTGTGACCTGAGCAGGTGTAATGGTAGAGGGCTGCAGGGCCAGGCTGGTCAGTGGGTGGATGACAACATTGGCAGACACTGGGGAGTCCGTGGTAGATGTCAGCTGGCTGCCAGAGTGGGAGATGAGGCCAGCGTCAATGCTCAGGGGCTGAGAGAGGAGACCACCCTGCTGTAAGGTCTGCTGTAGGAGGGTATGGTCAATCTGGAAGAGAGATGAAAGTGGAAGGCTGATGTTGAGGAGGAAAATGAGACTGTGACTTGTAGAAGGGACTGGGAAACAACAATAAGGCATGATGGTTGCTTTTTGAACAATGTGGGGAAAATTCAAGATCATTCAAGAAAATTTCACCTTTTGATACTTATTGACAACTTAAAGCTACAGTATGTAACTTTTTGTTTTTAGATTTTAAGTTCAGTTATGTCCAAAAACTCACAGATAGGAAAAAACAACATAAAGTGTCTTTAGTAAAGTGTTGGCCACCACATGCTGTAAGAACAGAGTCAGTGAGCCTCGGCACTGAAGTCTCTAGAACTCTACTGGAAGGATGAACAATAAAATATGTCTGGATCTTAATGTGCAGATGTGCTGTCAGTGTACACAACAAGGATGTTGTGTCAATGAGAGGGAGGGCTGCATGGGGCGGAGTGATTTTGATTCAAGTCTCATGCTAGCACTATCCTGATTTTCAGAACTTGCTTGTTTTAGCTTTAAATCCGTAATGTAAAATGCATTCCAGGACTTTAGATGAAATTTTGTAAAGCTGCTGTAATGTTTGGTCTACAGACTTTCTCTGAACCTCCTTATATGTCTGATATTTTTGGGATGACTGATATGATTTGTGGGTTATACATGGAGAGAGTGTTCATGGCAGCAGAGCAGAGATGGTTTGGCTCAGAGTTGCGAACAATGACTCAAACTTTAAACACCTTTAAAAGATTGATAAGGCACCAAACATTAGAGTAGGAGAAAGGTTTGAAAGATCAATGGATATAAACCCCAGTGTGCAGATGAGAAACATTTTCATTTATTACTTTTACAGCTGCCTGAGCAAAACTCATTTTGTGCTCCCATACCACATTTTGAATTTCCTTCATGTGCTACTGAGGGATTTCACAAAACTACTCATTTGGTCTAGTTCAGGGGTTTTCAGAGTCTGGCACAGTGGACCCCCAACAGTCAAAACTGAGACCATTGTGCCCCCCCCCCTTTTTTTTTTTTAATTTAATTTGAATAGATTTTGTTTAAATAAAAAAAAGGGGAGGTTAAGCCTGGTCATATTATAGTTTTACATTATTAAGCCCTTTAATTATGTATTCACTTAAAATGTCGGCAATTTAAAGGTGTTTAGAAAATGTAAATTAATCAAAATCAAAGAGTTGCAATCAAATATTTAACTAGGTAAAGATGAAGAAACCTGAAGGGCTGACGTGGTGCATTCTGCTTTGCTTTCCATTGCATTTTTCCCTGTGCCATTCATGGTTTACATAGGGATGGGCTGCACTCCTCCAAGCTAAGCACAGAATATCAAGGACCACAGTGCTCGTTAATAATGTATTTGCCACTAATGGAGACTGTATGAGCAGTTTAACAAACAACCATGCTCGCTGAAGTCCACGATATACCACAAAAAAAAAAAAAAAACAACTCACCGTTCTACCTCTGAACCTGTATATGAGTGTATGTTCACATACCACGCATGTAATGCTAATACTTGAGATGTGACGACGCAGTCAGGGGCAACAGCCCTGTGAGCACCCACCTCCTCCCCCCGAAAGTTCCTGGAACCTGATTTAGTACTACCTCCAGAGGGGTGCTGAAATTGAGCTTGTGGAACTCATTTCCAAAGCAGGCGGAGGGCAGTGGAAACAAACACAGAACCCAAGACAAGAGGTTCAAGTTCCATTACAGGTTGGAAGGTTCCTGTAGTGGAAAAAGGCCTAATGGATAACAACACAAGATTCAGAGTTTCTAACCTGTAGTGTGATGTTATTGATGTTGCTTGTATCGATGCCAGAAATCTGGACATTGGGGCACACCAGGTTGGCAGGTGTCAGCTGCAGGTGAATGCCATCCAGTGTAGTCAGGCCATCAGGAAGAGAGACAGTCAGGTCTCCAGCAGCTGAATGCACAAACACAAACACACACATGCACTTAGTATTTCATATTTTGTGCTAATGTTAAACTAATTAAAATCACAGACACAGATAGATGGAAAAGTACAATTTTCCTGATCTAACATGTTTACAGTACATTTTATATTAACTCCAACCCTCACTGTTCAGCTCAACCAACTGTTCATTGCAGAAAAATCTGAATTTACAACTGTCTCTTCTGATCAAAACCACTGCACTAGAGAGGCAAATAGGTATAAAGTTTTATTACCAGATATATATATGGCTAAAACTATGGATTTTAAAAAAGGAAAAAAAAATCAGACAATAGTCTGGAGACAGACAGATGTGATACAGCACATTACATGCACTGCTAGGTGTTATACAAAATGCCCTGGTTTCTGCTCAAGGGAGAATATCCCTGTAGTAAGGGTTCTTCAAAAGACTGAGGAAAAAATACTGCAATGCAATACAGTTTTTCCCAGGATGATGAAAACTGGTTGTTTTTCTAGCAGTGAACTGAGCACTTTGTTCAAAACTTCACTGTGAAAACTGAGCTGTGGACTGAGTTCTTTAATGTTTCGGAGAAAGAATGTGCTTTAGAAATCGCTGCTGTGCTTTACTTGTCTATTTAAATATTTACTTAGCACCACAATCCACATCCAAATCCTTATTATATAAACATCTCTTTAGGGAAATGAGACTGGAAATCGTTAGTTGTGAATAATTCAGATTTCTGAAAATCCCCTCTTCATGTCAAGACTTGGTATCACTCCTTTTATCACTTTTATATATTTTCAAGATCTGAGCCATTTAATCAGAACACACAAGAAAACCTTCAATGCTGAGGTGGTGAAGTGTGAAATCCTCCTACAAAGGCCTAGAATAAATAACTCCATCTTTGATGTTTGTAATTCATCTGCCTCAAAAATGCAGCTGAGACCAAACATCATACTGCAAGTGAATTATGACTTTGTATCACATAAAGGTCTGAGAAAAATCAAATAGTGTCCTGTGATTGGAGAAAAAGGTGTGCACAGAGTCCATCAGTCACTGTGATGTAATTCATCTTGTCCAGACCAACAACACTAATTTCCTAGCCACTGGCCAACACTAGAAATGATGATCCCGTTTCATTTCAGTTACACCTACATACTTTGGTGCATTAATCATCAGTCTGGCATTACAATTTGAGTAAGTGCCAAATGCCAATAAAATGTGCTGCTGATGGGTCATCCATAACACTAGATAGTGAAATCTTGTGCCTCAGTGTTATGTTCTTGGGTCATTTCATTTTCTCAAAATTAATCTTGCTGTCCACCCGTACACTCTGTGAATAAATAAAATTATCGCTGTGTAACAAACAAACAACTCCCAACAGTTTCCTTGCTACTCTGGTCTACCCAAAATGAAGTAAAATGTGTAAAGTTCCTTGTCTGCTACTAGTTTCCATGACTGTCTTTTCTCTGTGTGTCTTGTACTCTAGATGTTGTGATCTATCCGGAATGCCTTACCTGACATGGAGGCCGGTAGGATGGCCTGTCCCACCAGTCCTGATTGCAGTAGATTTTGGTCAAACTGCCCTGTCAGGACTTGGTTGGCTGGGAGGTAAATATTGGGGTCAGAGTTAGGTGTTTTTAGCAGACCCACAGGCTGAAGCACCTCTGAAGCAGCTGGCTGCTGGCCCTGGCCTGTTGCCACAGCCTGTCCAGTCCCTGTGTCCTGACACTGAAGAGCCTGACCTGCAGATGAAGCAGACCGCTTGGCCTTGCGGCTGTCGCTGCTCTGCCGGAAGTGGAATTGGATGTGGGTTTTGCGATGGCCTGACGTTCTAAAGCGGAGTTCACAGAAGGGACATTTGAAGGGCTTGGAGCCGGTGTGGAGGCGCATGTGTACCTTTAAGCTGCCCTTTGTTGAAAAGGAGGTGTTGCACATATGACAGCTGAACAGTTTCTGACCTGCAAAGATAAGAGGAAAGTTATGTGGAGCTAGCTTAATATGACCCATTGCTCCATTACAGCTCCAGGCTACACAGGCTTGTTGTCCTCTTGAGGTCAAAATGCCAGCAGTTCTCCCTTTTCTTTGTATTTTATGGGCGTGTTAAGTAAGTAGTGATGTAACTGTCCTCATGGTTGCAAATATCCAACAGATTTGAAATCATGAGGACAGCCCTGAAGAGTCTACAGTCAGGTCAGGGAGCTTTAAGCTTGTATTTCACTTAATTTTTTTTTCCTCTGTGTATAGTTTTAATAAGATTTCAATATTTAATATCATATTATTAACCTCTAACCTGTGTGTGTCTTCACATGGCAGTCCAGAGTAGATTTCACTGTGAAACTTTTCCCACATTCATCACACTTGTACGGTTTTTCTCCTGTATGGATCCGAATATGCCTAGGCATTGAAGCAAATTGACAGATACATTTGAAAGAGCCAAGGACAGATGGTAATTTTGAAGTGGGGGGGAAAAAGAACAAGTGAGCAGAACTTACAATTTTTTCATAAATGCATGGAATGAGTGAAATAATGGAACTAGACAGAACAAAATATGCCCTCACATCACCCAAGAGGAGTGCAAATGGTATGGGGAGAAAATGCAAATGCACCCTGACTCAGAATATGAAAACCTAATAATAAGTGCAACTCGCTTGTGAATATCTTGTTTAGGAAGGAAACATTTCAGAAAGTTCAAAAAGAAGTGGTTGGAACTTTACAGATCTAATAACACAGAACAGCTTCTTGAGAAATATAAAACATTAATCATTTCTACCATTACCACTAAATAATTCTTCTCTCAAAGAGCTTCCACTGGTGTTTTCTCAAAGTTATAAGGAAATGCGACCTTGTGCAACATTTACTAAGGCCTGTCCTTTTCACACTTTTCATCTTTGACTTGAATGTCTGACACATAAACTACATGGAGGAACTGTATGACCTACTAACCTGTGAATTGTTTTCAGTAAAGGTGTTCTATTTATAGAGGTACAATAATTAACATTCTAGCCATCCTGGTGTGGGGGAAAAAGCTTTATCTATATACAGTAACAGCAAAAGATGGTTACATTACTGCTTGAACTAACTCCAACATGTAATCCATCCATTGGGAAGCTGACAGTGAGCATGAGGCAGGAAATATGGTGGGCAGCAGGTCACCAGTCTTTACAAAGACACAGACTGGAAGGCAAACTCATGCCTGCAGCTCTGTTTGGTACGGAGTTGTATATTTTGACTTTGTGGTATTTTTCTATATATCATCCATGTGTTCTCAAACTGGTGAGGATGTTTTCTTAATGAGTTCATGCTTTGTCTGTTTGCATGTGCTTTTATTAGTTTCTGTACCTTGTAAAATGTACTTTTGTTGACTGTGAATGACCTAAACATCTCTGCTTTCACTGTCATTTTAAATGCGTCCTTTTGAGCTCAGACACTGCAGTAATGGCAGCAGCACTTGAGAGGATAACACCTAAATCAGCTGCTGGATTCATGGCAAGATCCATGTTAAAGAAATACAGTAATGTGCCTTAAGCAAAATAGTTTTTACACATGCAGTGTCTCGTGAAGACCATGGCGAGCTGATGTGTTTCTCAGAGACAACTATTAACAAGCATGATATTATTACCTGATGAGGTCACTGGGTTTCTTGAAGCTCTTGGGGCAGTAATTGCAGCAGTTTGCAAACTTAGGCTCCGTTTCCAGCTCCACGGCCTTGTCCTTGATCTCGCTGATTCGATCCCGCTCAGCCGCTGACTGGGCGAGGATCCGCTCTGACACTGAGGCCTCCTCACCAGGATCCTTTGCCAGCTCGGCTGCCTGTTCTTCAGTGAAAGTGATTATCTCCAAACCCCTCCTCTTTGATGACTTTTGCTCGCCTTCCTCTTCCTCCTCTTCTTCCTCAACATCTTGACTATCCAGACCTATAACTGTGACAACAGAGGTCTCAGTGTTTCCAATGACAATACTTTTAAGAGGCAATCTGCAATGCCAAAATCTTTGCCACCAAGGCAAAGAAAAAATGAAATAAAATAAAATAAAACAGCACCTTGGTGACTCACCCTGAAAGCCTATTCTATTCAAAATGCAATGAGTCACATAAACAGATGCGGTAAAGGCCAAATCACCCTGAATGTATTTTTAGACACATTTTTAATGCGTCTCATGTAACAGATAGAACTCTGTTCCACTGAATGTGTCAGTTCACACTGACACAAGCACGTGAGTGTGCGCTTTTAAGCCTCGAGTTTATTTTGTTTCTTCTGGTGCATTTAGTGAAGTGTCATCTCCACAAACAGCTGTTTGAATCACAATAATCTCCAACTACTTTCAACTTTATACTGGTATCTGTTTCGACTGATCAGGCTTTTGGTGTCACTATGAGCTTTTTGGTTTTATTCCATCCCCAACCTCCGTAGCATGCCAGGGAAAATCTATACATATGAAAGTGTTCTGATTTGTTCCTGGTGAGCCTACATGAAAAGACAGACATTATGCTGGGTGTATTATCATCATGTGTCCTTGGGATCCACATCATGATAGGCAGCTCAAACTGAGGCAAAGATGCGTCCAAACTGAACCATTTTAAACTTGGACATAAATAAACACTTACAGCACCAGCAGGAAATCATCTCCCCACGTTGCTGACACAAATCAAATTATTCCATGCTGATCAAATACATATAAGTTCCCCTGTTGCCTCAGATTCCTATAAGTTTTGTTTCTATTTCCCAACTTCTTAACTGTGAAGATACAATAGAGTTTTTATGATCCAGTTTATAACAAAATGCCTTTTAATGTAACACCCAAATGATGGTATCTAGGCATCCTTACTTTGATCCTCCACAGCGTGCTCCTTCTTCATATGCTTTTTACACAGCAGGCTGGTCCTGAAGCTCTCGTCACACATGGAGCATTTGAAAGACTTGATGTGAATAATCATGTGGCGGTTCAGGCTGCCATTAGTGGTGAATGAGGCATCACAAATGTTACACTTAAAGGGCTTCACTCCTGTCAGTGACAGATGAGATAGGTATGTCTCAGGAAGTTAGATTTAAATTTTACTACAAGAAATTGAATTGAAATATTCCAGTGTAAATACACTGGGCTATGATACATTTAATAGAGTTTGGACATACTAATTAATTAAGGATGACATCAGAGACTGTTCAGCAACTGGTATAAAGCAAGCTCACCGGTATGTGTGTTGAGGTGGGACTTCAGCACTCCGGCTGATACAAAGGCTCGTCCACAGAGATGACATCTATATGGTTTCTCCCCAGTGTGGGAGCGCACATGCTGCTTCAGATGACTTGACTTTTTAAAGCCCTTATTACACCAACTGCACCTGAAGGCGGCAAAATATACAACTGAAAAGAGAGTTGATTTTTAATAAAAAAGAGCTCATCTACACAGCCAGTATCAGAAGCTCCCCAAATTTAATACAACATGCACACAGGTGCACTGAACAAATGTTACAGTATGTTTCCTTCATAATATCCAAACTAAACTGCCTTCTGAGGATTCTAAAGCCACTTACAAATCAAAGAAATACACTCTATTCTGTACCTGTGTGTGTTGGTTTATGTGTTTCTTTCCTTTTCACAGTATAAACTAGTGGGAAAAATATCCAACTACACATGATGTATGCAGCTCATATTTTCTATGCACAACCGGTTTCTACCTCTCACAAAGATGTGAAATTCTTTTTAAGTTTTTGGCAGGTCCAGGATATGTGGAGAAGTGAAAACCAGCTGAGAAGATGCCTGAGATTTCTGAGAAGACATGAATCTATCTCTGAGGCATTTCTCTAAACAGTTTGAGTTATCGGGGGGGAAAGTCTGAAATGAAAAATGCAGGCAAAGTAATAAAAGGCTGTCAGCGTGAATGCTGTAAACAATGTCTTCTGCTTTATGACCTGAAACAAATATTTGTTTAGACATTATAAAGCACACAGATGCATCCAAACACAGAAATGTGGAGAAACAAAGTACTTGTGCGTACCAGTCCAAGCCAAAATATTTAAATTGTGTTTAGACCCCCTATGACAACCCACTGTATTTTGACCAGTGAACTCAAAGTGACTCTCAATAGCCATTTGACACATGACAAGGCAATGCCGATAATCTGGGAAGGCTGGGCTCTGGACAAGAAGATCAAAAAGAGAAAAGACAAAGAGGAGACTAACAGAAGTTTTTATCCTGATATGGCAGAATCTGTCAGGCAGAAAATCATCAGTGCAGCACCACAGCTAATCAGGCCTGAGTGCTGCCGTGCAATCAGGCCAGGGAGACTGAATAGACAGAAGCCAGTTCTGGGTTAGCAGGAGTTTGCAAAACTGCTCTGAAAGTACTTTAAGAGCAGATTTTCTCTTGCTTTGATGAGGAAAAAACCTGAACTCTTTGGCCTGAATGCCAAGTGCTTTGGTGAAACCCAGGTCCTGCTCATTGCATGATAAATACAATGTCTATATGAGAGTGGAGATATGGCAGCATCAAGCCAGGAGGCTAGATGAGCGGGGAGTACTGAGAGGGCAACCAACACAGCATAAACCACATCATCAGCCAAGAAAGCAGGAGGACTTAACCATTCAAGAGACTGAAGGACCATGCCTCAAGTAATGCCCAGAATGTACAATGGAAGAAATTGCCTTTGCAGGTGTGAAAAGAGAAGGCAGCACAGAAGACTTGAAACTGTCATTTAAAAGGCGAAGAGACAGGAGTACTTGCTGAAGCCACTCATACAGACATGGACTCTCACACACAAAATATAACTTGGAAATAAACCTATAGGCTCTCTTGGTGTTGTCCTCACTGTCATCCTGGTAGTCCTGTGTCTCAGCAGTCATCTGAAGCTCACTCTGACTGCTCTGCTGAAGGAGCCCGTTCGTCTACATGAACAAATCAACAAAATACACTCATCTTATATGGACGGTATGTATAGCTTAGCATAGCAGAAGGACTACACCTACCAGCTCCTCTAAAGCTCACTAAACAAGTTTTTTTCTGGTTTGTTTAGTCTACAGTCAAAGAGAAAGGTCAGAAAAGACTGTGATGTTGCATGTTTTTCTCCATTTCTTGTATGATATTTAATACCTTTGTATGTGCTTTAAACAGCTATTTATATTGCAGTATTTGAGACCATTGTTAGAAATAGGAAAGGAATGAAAAAAAGCAAATAGAGAATTAGGAGGAAATAAAGAGGCAGTGTCCTACATGATCACTGATTAAGCCATTTCATTATTCAAGCAAACTTTTGCATCAGTTAACAAATGATCCTCTTTAATATATTCCACTGCACTGTACTTTCATTGTAATTTCAAGAGGAATAATTCATGTACCATCATTATGTAAATTATTCAGTTACCTGCTCCAAAATGTAATCTATTTCCTCTATCAGCAGACCCTGAGGTGCAAGTTCAACACAAAATGAATAATCCACTAAACTGAAATCAGTCTTAAATACCTTTACTACAACAATTCTCTGCATAAATAGAAAGTAAGATCTGAAAACTGAAGGCCAGGTGAATGAGGTAAGGGTTAAGGGGCTCAGGTCTCACCACTTCAGCACCGGGAACATGGAGCAGATTCGGAGGGTGATAGCTGGAGGACAGGGCCTGAGACTCCAAGGTGCTTGAATCCTGCAGCTGCTGGACAGTTGAGAACTGGGATTGATTGTAGCTTGATTCAGTGATGGTGAAGCCTGAAGTGAGCAGAGAATAATCAGTCTATTGGCTTACTGATCAGATGTGAAGGTACAGGCTGATGGCAATACTGGCTCTACAGAGAAGTTAAAAAGACAATGGACATTTAATTCTTGACTGAGCAAACAATAGTTCTGTATATAAAGGCTAGATACAATAATGCTAACCCAGCTAAACCTCAAGAAGCAGATTATCTCATGCCGCAGCATTTAACAGCAAAAGTCAAGCTACAACTGCACAAATGCAGTTGATAAGTCAATAAAGCACAAATCTTCCTCTCACCAAACAAACAATTGGAAACTATGAAATCTAGGTGATGTTTGTGTTTATCCAGCTTCTGCACAACGACTGCCAGCAGAAAGTGGGACTTGTATTGATTGTGAAATACTGAACTTTGAGCACGATATCATCGTTCACTGTAACTGTTTTACTGCTGACTTTGACTAATGACCAACAGTCGGACTGCAGTCTGCAGTGCAAACAAGTTAGGTGATAAACAGCCTTGAGCCTGTTACTGCAAGAAATCTGCATGTAAACTGTCTGAAAAATACACCAAGGCAGGAATTTGATGTGAGCATGGTGGTTGTTCAACTGCCTATATGCCATCATTGAAAGGATTTCTCCATTAAAAGGCATTTATTCTGATTTAGAGGTCTAATGAGGACTTCACTTGTTGGTTTAGAGGGAAACATTCACTGAGTGAAACAGGGCAAAGTGGTGAAGACATCTGCAAGTCTGTGTTCTGCCTGCTCAGCAGCTGTTTGATAAACTGCTCATACACTCTTCGTTACTGGATGATTGTTGCACTATGAAGTGATGTCTGATCTCCCTCTGCTCAGATGACAGAGGAAATACAGTGGAAAACAAAACAGGATGATCCGCGGCAATGCGGGAGGTTATGTGGGGCGAAGTACGGAGCATACTGCTTGTAAGGTTCCAATAGTGGAAACGCAGCATATAGAGTATGTACAGAAAGAAAAGCAGTGGCAAGAGAGCAAGTAACAATTATGTGTTGTGGGCTATAACTGCATGAAAAATGTTAAATGATATCTGTTTTTAATAGACAGACATGATGGTGCTTGCTCTACAAAAGTGAACTAATCAGAAAAGGAATAAGGCTGGTGCTTGCTCTACAAAAATGAACTAATCAGAAAAGGAATAAGGCTGTGTTGAAAAGGTCAGTCAGAAGCTTTTGAAATGCTTTCTTCAGTTTTGTGGCCAGGGTTATGTTTTGTTTTATGCTCTATCAATATCACTATCAATGACAGGAAAAGGATGACAAGTTAGTTAAAAAGATTGGTTGTATAATTGAGTTAAATCCTGATTAATTAAGAAGAAGAGAATAGTAAGGGGGAATAAACAGAAAGAGAGTTTACACCATACAGTTGGGAGGTCCTCCTTTGTGATGTTTTTACTAGTCTACAACCTGTGTTGAATAATCAGATCTGGATGCTAAGATGTTGCCAACAGCTGTGAAACCTTGGAGTGCTACACATTGTTGAGAGCATTGTCTGCTATGAGCTGTTGACTTGTATATCTTTTGTTACTTCATTCTGTGTGCGGCCAACCAAACTAGTTTCCCTCCTGTGGATTAATACAGTTATCTGTTTAAGAGCTTGAGTTGAAATTACCACAGTTCTGTGTGAACCTTTGTGTCAAAGATTTTGTTCATGGTTTATAATAATGTTGACCAGTGTGGCGGTCTAGCTCCTTACTATTCATACATTCTGTGGTGGCTTAAGAGCCCCTAATTTGGCTGCAGACCCAGCATCTAAACCTGCTCCTGCAAACTTACCAAAATTACCCTGAGATGAGTGTGTGGACAGCTATGGACAAACATGGTAAGTTACAAACAACAAAACAATAGAGTGTTTCCCCCAGAAGCCCACAAGGATCAGTGGTACAAAAAAATAATATGCTTTAGTTACAATAACTGTATAATGGGGCAAAATATGTTTATATACTCAACTGTCCTCTTGTCCAGACACATGAGTTCTTTACCCCTGAAAATATGATAAGACTCAGGACCATATGGCCTCACTCCTAAAATGATGAAACTCCAAGTCTGTTCTAGTCAGATAAAAAGGATACGGTGCCTCAGGAGAAAATGGAAAACATAAATCTGGCTGAAAGATGCAGTGCAGCCACCAAAAGGCCGCTGTTCTGATTACAGAGAATCCAGGCTGGCAATGGCAGTCAGGGTGAGTTAGTCAGTGGGAGTAAAGTAGCATATGTCTGAGACCATTACAGTTTATTAAGAGTTACACACCAGGGAGGGAAGAATGGAAACAGAGTTACATATAAATATGACACTTTTTTAATCCTTTATTGATTCAGGAAATATTCTCTGTTCTCAGGAAGAATCTGTCCACATTCACACCTGGAAGCTGCCCAGCACAACCACAGACTGACCTGTGGCCAATGAGCAGCTTCACTGGAGCAGTGCGGATTAAGGGCCTTGCTCAAGGGCACCACAGTGGTGTAAATGAGTTTAGGCCAAGTGCTGCTTTTTAATCCTGCCAGTCTGGGGATTTAAATCGTGCCCTTCCAATCACACGCTCAGTTTTCTTAAATTTAGGCCACCACTGCCCAAATTAACTGCTCTCTTTGTTGTGGGAATTTCACATAATCAACAACTGCTGTCTTCCTTGTCAGACTAAACTGAACGAAATCCTACTGCAACACTATTAACGTTTAAATCTAATGTAAAGTGAGAGAGTTTATTACTAGTTTATGTGGCTGCATGAGGTAGTTGCTTATACAGAATCAATTAACTATTGTAGTGAAAAACAGTGCAGTAGTTACTAAAATGCTGCCTGAGTTGCCACAACTTATTATCTCTTCACTTTTCAATCAGAAGACATACAGTATGTTTTTCACAATAAGAGATCACACAATATGTCTCTTTGTCAACCTCTTTGTCACGCTATACATAAAACACACCCACACGCATGCATTCAGAAACTAATTTCCTTGCTTTATCTGAAAACTGTTCCTGTTTCCTGACATAAAAAATATCCGGAATGAGAAAGCTTCCTAAAATCAGTGAGACAGAAATTGTGTGTGTGTGTGTGTGTGTGTGTGTGTGTGTGTGTGTGTTTGTACCTTGCGTTAGAGCTTGTTGGTCAAAGCCAGGCTGAGGGAGTGCTGGTGTCTCAAACTGACTAATATTCTGAGGTAAAGCATGTTGGGTAGTCACATATGAGTCTGTCAACAGAAAGAAAGAGATGCAAAGCAGTAGGTTAGTCTTGTGTAACTGCTCGCAAACACACGGTATTTAGAGATGACATTTTCACTCTTCAGCATGTAGTTGACTTTACAAAAGCACCATGGGCTTTAAGTGTACCTAAACAGCAGATTATTCCAAGGTGCATATTAACAAAGATTTTACACATTTTCTGATAAATCAAATGAAAATGGGACAGACCATGGTGCCTCTCAGCTATACTACAGTCTGCCACCTACAGCCCGTCTGTTGTTATTCAAGCTTCTCTACCCCTTGTTGTCGAAGTACTGTCTGTAAATTAGCCATGACTAGCACCTAGTCAAGGTTCTAAGAAGTGTTTGTTGAACCATGAATAGTTTCATTTCAAACAGCCAGCCATGGAGGAGCTCTTGGTAGCTGAAAGTCTGAAACTGTGGTGGTCAGACTGAAGAGGTCACATTCTTTTGTACAGAGAGTGGGTCAAAAAAAGAGCAAAAATCAGAGTTGTTGCTGTAAGGTCTCAACTAGGGATGGGTACTGTTAAAATCTTAACAATATTACTACTTTAAGTAATACTGTTACTTTTACTGATCCAGTACTTTAATGGTAGTGTTAACATTAGTTTATTTTCTCACATACTGGAAACACTGATGAGTAGCAAATGGCAACAGCCTTGTTTTGTAGGACCTTTTCTTTGACAGTATTTTATTGTGTTGTTGTTTGCCTGCAGCCCCCAAATCACTAAATCCACCTTTGCCATTCTGTACTCTGTTACTCATTGGCACTGGGGTAGGACAGGTTGGTGCCTCAGCTTAACATGGGGAAATGGATGCCACCGCCCACCAGAGTCAGGACTGGCACACACATCAGGGTTACAGAAAAGATGCTGGTAGCAGGGCATTGGATGGTGCAAGTGGCAGAGGAGTGCCCTTTGGGACAATGGCACACGCTACAGATAGCATGTGGAAAAACCAACCTGATGATCAACAAAGGGCATCACTGAGCAGGTAGTCATCACGTCCTTGATGTCTACCTCGTCAGCTGCACTCTTGTCCATCACCTGGTATCTGAGTCTGACACTGTCTGTCTTACACACCATGCAAGGCATTTTGTCAGGCGAAACTTTGGTGGGAAGTCCTGTGGTGATGGAGTGAATGTGATGGCAGTGGGAAGAAGTAGCTGAAAGCTGCTAGTAGGATCTCTACAACCAGGCAGCTCGCACGTAAGGGTTTCAGCCCACACTGAAATCTGAACACCAGCAGGGCTGAGGCAGCTGTGTGAATGTCCAGGCAGCCCTTTTCAAGGACAGTTATGCCTGTCCGGGCAGGAGAAGCCCCTAGGAAAGGTGGGGTAAAGAAAGGGTGCTCACCCTTACCCGGCCGTCTTACCGCGGTCAGCGGGACATCACTATAGGAACTTGGACTGGGAAACTGGAAGGTAGGAGGCTGGGGTTACGTTTGCCATTGCAAACAGACTTACCCTGATGTAGAAAAGGAAGCTTTCCACCTACAGCTAGCAAGCGTCGCTGATAAGGTCCTACTCATGAAAAACTTCTGATCCTTGGGGATTTTAATGCCTGAGTAGGCATGGATAGCACCACATATGAGGGTGTCATTGGCAAATTTGGTAGGGGTAAGAAAAACTCAAATGGTAAACTCTTGTTGAATTTCTGTTTATAACGTGAGCTAAGCAGCTCCAACACCTTCTTTTGACAACCTGAAAAAGATTTCTACATGTGGATGCATCCCCGTTCTGGACACCATCACCTTCTTGATTATGTTGTTACAAGGAGTAGATTGTCAGAGATTCTGTCAACTAAAGCAATGACAGGAGCAGAATGCTCAGCAGATCACTATAGGGTTAGATGTCAGTTAAGACTCAAATTGTTCTTGCCAAAGAAGAAAACACCAGCCAGTGTTGACTGCAAAAAGCTTGATGTGAACAAGTTGTGCCATGAGGATCATCATCAGTGCTTGGCAGCTGCAATTATATCAGCCATAGGTGACGCTTCCATTCCTCTGACACTGAAGAACACTGGCTTGTACTTAAAAGGGTTGTTTATTCTGAAGCGAGTGAGACTCTAGGGTATTTAAGTATTAATGCCCCTCCTGACTGGTCCTGGAAGCATGGTGATGAAATTCAAAAGCTCTTGGAAGTGAAGCGTAAAGTTCACAACTGCCACCTGACGGACAGCTCTGGCAGGAGCAAGACAGCCCTTGGGGAAATTAAAGCTAAAATTCAGTGAGAGATAAGAGCCTTGAAAAATTACTGGTAGTGCAGACAGGCTCAGAGCCTGCAAAACATGGCAGACAACCATGACGCCCTATTCAATGAACTGAAGGCAGTCTATGGACCAAGATGTAATGCAGTGGCATCTGTAAAATCAGCTGATGGGATCAGTTGTACACCAACATAAATGACATAAGACAGAAATAGAAGAAACACTTCTGCAGCTTACTCAACTATCAAGGTTTAGCCAGACCTGAAGCATGCAGATTGCAAGACAGGAGGCCAACAAGAGAGGACCTATGTAGTGTAATCTCAATGGATGAATTGAAGAAGGCACTCAAGAGCATCAGTAGTGGCAAGGCCCCTGGGCTAGATGGCATACCTTCAGACATGCTAAAAAGGTGGAGGAAGCCTAAAAGAAGAACTGCTTCAACTGTACAACTGCAGCAATCGAGGAGAAGCGACAGAATGTACACGAAAGGATATATATATATTTAAATATATACACAAACACACCCTATATATATATATATATATACACACATACACACATTTATAACTCTTGAGTCTCAATAGATCTTCTAGCAGCTGAAACGAAAGTAGGTAGAATACCTTTAATGTTCTAGTGTTGCTAGTACTTGTGTACAACTTTGGTGGTGTTTACCCAGTGCACTTAAATCACTTAAAAATATATACACTGTCCCATGTGTAGACATAACAGCTCATGTTAACTGCACAGTTTGCAATACATAGCCATGCAAACTGTGCAAACTCGGGAGCAGTTAATATTAAAAAATAGTAACTTTAGTATTGTGACATAAAGTACATTCTATGAACTTGTCTCCTTTAAATCTTAACACTGTACTTTCTTTGTGTGCAGGGTAAACTGTGTGTTGATATCTGTCATCAAAATGTACTGAACCTAATACAGGGGATGCATTTTAAAATTAAGGAAGTGTCGTGTTCCAGGAAAGGCAATTCTAAACCAACAATAGATCAACTATTTTGATCTGCTTGGCTTGCAAGGATGATCTCTATTTTTAGACATTAGGCCCTGATACGGGTTGCAAGCCAGTGACTTCTGTGCTGGTTCCAAGCCCGGATAAATAGAGAGGGTTGTGTCAGGAAGGGCATCCGGCGTAAAACATGCCAAATTTAAACATGTGAATCATCAGTGTGAATTCCATACTGGATCGGTCGAGGCCCGGGTTAACAATGACCGCCACCAGTGCTGTTGACCTACAGGGTGCTGGCGGAAATTGGACTACTGTTGGTTGAAGAAGGAGAGGAGGTAGAAGGAGTCGTAGACAGAGAGAGAAGAGGAAAGGCAGGAGCATAGGTCTGAGAATAGGGACTCTTAACGTTAGTACAATGACATGGAAAGGTAGAGAGCTGGCGGACATGATGGAGAGAAGGAAGGTAGATATACTGTGTGTGCAGGAGACCAGGTGGAAGGGAAGCAAAGTGCGTAGTATTGGAGGGGGATACAAACTGTTTTATTATGGTGTGGACAGGAAGAGAAATGGGATAGGAGTGATCCTGAAGGAGGAGCTCGTGAGGAATGTTTTAGAGGTGAAAAGAGTGTCAGACAGGGTGATCAGTTTGAAGTTGGAAATTGAAGGGGTAATGTTGAATGTAGTCAGTGGTTATGCTCCACAAGTAGGGTGTGAGTTAGAAGAGAAGGAGAGATTCTGGAGTGAGTTAGATGAGGTGATGGAGAGTATTCCCAGAGGGGAGAGAGTGGTGATTGGGGCAGACTTCAACGGGCACGTTGGTGAGGGGAACAAAGGTGATGAGGAGGTGATGGG